AAAGAGAGGTTTTTGCTGTAGAGCACATGCACTTGCCAGAGACAGACAGAGTGACAGAAAGCAAGAAATCACCCCCCAGGGGGATGGCCACACCTCAATCCCCTTTCCCCCATTCACCTCTCAGGATCTGGGGCACACACGCACACGCGCCGCATGAGTCTCAAGACTCTGGGTCCAGGTATTGAACTGTGGTCGACTACATGGGAATCCAGCGATGTAACCATTATGCCATTTGCTGGTTCCACAAAGAACACATTTCGGGACCAGCAGGTGGCATGTTGGTTAAGGTTCAGGACTCCCACATGGCCAACCACAGTTTGAGTCCCGGACTTGGTGGCTTGCTTTCTCATCCTTTCTCTTTCTCATCAAATTAAAAAATAATAATAATAAATGGAATTGAATAAATAAAAAATAATTTTTTTTTTAAAAAAGAACACATTTCCATAACAACAGCTTTGGGAGGTTATGCACAGCTTACAGTAGTCAGTTAGTACAAGATCCCTGAGGGGAGAGGTGATGGGCAGATGGAAAAACCAGGTTAGCAACAGCGGGGTTGAAATCGTGTTAGTTCTCCCAATGGAGCCATCATCTGAGCTGGGATTCTGGTAGCATCTACTTCCTGTAACATCTGTGATGAGTAAATTTCATAACTTATGGAAAAGGAGCAGTGCCCCATCTAGCTTGGTAACAAGGACTGTGAGTATTATCAGGGTTATTTGCGACGTATATCAAATTCACTTTTTATAAGATCAGGTTCTGAAAAATACTTAAATAATAAAAAGAGTTTTTGAGAGAAAACTCTTCAGAGCCAAAGAAGCTTGGGCTGAAGTTTTAGCTGTTCCCAGAAGAATAGTATAAGCTCAACTGGCAAACACAACTTCCCCCCGTCCCTGAGCCTTCCGAACAAGTGTCGCAGTGACAGTCCAGTGGGTCTGTTTGACAATGACAATCAAACACGTCTGCTTAATGATTAAATGAGATGATGCACAGGAAGGAAAATGTGTGAACTAAAGCAAGCAGTCTGCTTCTAGGAGGTACCATTTGTTGTTTCTGTTATTGCTAATCCCTTATTGAAATAAATCACAACTGACTGTAAAAATACATGTTAAAACCAGCAAACATGGGCCAGCAGGTGGTATGGTGATTAAGCCACTGACTCCCACATGGCCAACTGCGGTTCAAGTTCCAGACCTGGCAGTTCGCTCTCTCTCTCTCTCTCTCTCCTCTCTTTCTCTCTCTCCCCCTCTGGTGAGCATCCATGCCTTATTAAAATTTAAGAAATAATAAATAAAATTAAATATATAATTTTTTTCAAAAAAGCCAACACACACACAAATAATAGCAATGACAATACAAATGTGGGCACCAACAAACCCCCAAATAATAGCAATGACAATACAAATGTGGGCCTCATCAAAAGTGTTATTGGGCAAAAATAAGCCATTAAATAAAGTATCAAGTCACGTGTGGAAGAAGCGTGCAGTGGTCGTAACGCTTCCCACCAGAACGTCTGCATCTTTCAGGAGTTACAGAGTCACGAGACCATAAAAAATAAATATTTTATGCAAGACATTTTAAAGCTTAAACACAAAAATGGAAGAATTTCTTGAAATGTGGACCTACATTCAAACTTATTTTATTTCTAAAAAGGAACCTAGACTCGAAGTCACAGAATATTAAAAATTCAGTAGTTGCGAAAAGAAGCAAATAATCACAGTTAGTGATGTTTTTAGAAAGATCAAAGCATCTTGCTGGTCAGAATATCTACATCAGAAACAAAATGTGCAGCTTGAAGATAAGGAGCAATGCCCTAAACACAAATAAATTCATGGCTGCACTTGCCCGAACAGACCATCAAAAGCAAAGGCAGTATTTTATTAAATGGTAATGACAGCTCTTTTGAGGATGACACTTGGGGATATTTGGCTAGACTCCCAAATTTTAATGGCGTACTAAAATTATGCTAAAAAGTGAAACAAATTGGCATTCATTTCCTTGTCATTTAATACTTAAATAACATATGTTCATATGCTAATCAGAGTGAGAAGTAATTAACATACAAGATGGTTACTGGGCAGTATTAAGGTTCTATGGAAGAAAACGCATTCTACCTATCAGTCAGCACGGCCATGAGGGAAAACAAGGTATGTCTGTCAGAAAAGATGGATTGTGCACGAGAGAGCTCACTGGACATTAAAGAGCACCAAGGAAGAAAAACTCCGAGTGACTCATTTAAAAATATGGCGGTCAATGTCATGGAGAGCTTTTAATGAAATGACGCCTTAAGTTGACAAGATTCCAGCTTCTTGCTTCACACTCCTTCCCCTCCCAAATACACAAACTGGAAGCAACTACACTTTAATAGATTACGAAAGTGAACAGAAATGGACTTTATAAGTACTGAGAAAAAGAGCCAAGGCACTGATGCAAATCGATAAAAGAAAATGTTGGCCCATGGATTTCTGAGCTAGAAACCCACGAGATGAATGGGAGAATGCATGCACGCCGAGTCTGAGCTATCTGAAGTGTAGCTACACTGCCTATTTATAAATCCTCAAATATAGACCCTGCAGCTGTCCCAAATAGCAAATATTGAAGACATAAAAACAAATTCGTTAAAGCAGTATAAGAGAAATAACACAATTGAATAGGGTTTCTTTTGTTACTTTAAATAATAGAGTTTTGAGAATATGCCATTTTACTATTTTAAAAAGTCACTAAATATATAGAATAAATTACCACTTTGAGAAATCAATTTCATTCCATTCTCACTTGGTAGAGATAATATGTGTGTCTTTTTTTTTTAGAATTATATTTAACTTTATTTATTATTATTATTTTAATATTTCCAGAGAGAGAGAGACAGAGAAAAAGAAAGAGAGAGAGAGAGAGAGAGAGAGAAAGTGAGAAAGCGAGCTTCCAGGTCCAAGACTCGAACCATGGTTGATCATGTGGGAGTCCAGAGCCCTTCACCACCACCATGCGGGTCCCAACATGTGTGTTTTTTTATATATTAAATACTACATTACTTATTTATTAATAATATAGCTAAATATATAAAATATATTTCAAGTGTTAGGACATAGTAATGTGAAATAAATATAATTAAGTATAACTAAGTCAGCATTTACAATTACATAAATTATATTTATATAACTACTATTTATATGATGGGGTAATACCATTAATGCTATTATCTATTAGTAATGTGAGTAGAAAAATAAATTAGATTATTTTATTAATATTATGAAATATTAATATTACTGTTATTAATTTTCCATTTAAAACATTGTTAAAGAGGATACCAATCTGAGATTAGCAGTTGGCGTAATGGCTATGTCGCTAGACTCCCACGTAGTCGACCGCAGTTTGAGTTCTGGACCCGGTGGCTTAAACTCATGCTGGGCGTGTGTATGTGCGTGCCCAAGATCCGGACAGGAGAATGGAGGAGAAGGGATTGTGGCATGTCCATCCCCCC